AATAGTGATATGGACTCTTTTCTCTCTATTGATGAATCTTCAAGTGGATTATAGTAATTTTAATGAGTTATAAATTTATTTAGATTGGTTGGACCTACCTAAATATCTCCTTAATTTTTTCATAAGTAATCAAATTTAAGTAATATTACACGTAATCTTTTTCTTAGATCTTTTAATTTTCAAATTTTCCTTATATTTGTGATTTAATTCGTGTTTCGTGGATTACATGTCTTTATTTATATTTAAAAAATAATTTGCATCTGATGTTTATAGCAACTCAATGTATATGTGATATCACACGTAGAGCGAGAAGATTAGCTACAAGTTAGACTGAACCCAACAACTTTAATCCAAACTCTATATTTGTATTAAGAAACATATTAAATACGTATAAAAAATAAATTCTAACACTTAATAACAACTATATTTATACCAACTCAATATATACTTGATATCACGCACGGAGCTACGAGATTAACTACAGATTTGGCTAAATCCAGTAGCTTCAATCCAACCTTTATATTTATGTTAAAAATTAATTAAATATATATAAAATTAATTTAAAATCCAATTTACATTTGAAAATTTTAGCTTCATAGTACAAAGCGAGGTGTATACACCATAAAATGCAACGTTTTTCTTTTTCTCTACACCACTATATATATTCCTTGCAACTTCAATTTACAATACCGGTGTCTGTACCATTTGCATACCGGCATTGTTCTCTCCATAATTCTATCTTCTCCATCTTCTTCGCCCTACTTATATCAATGGAGTCAATGCTCGGTGACGGCTGGCCTTCTTTTGACCCCAAAAATTTTAGCCAGCTCCGACCTTCTAATTCCTCCACTTCCTCTGTAAGCACCTTTTTTTGTTCTTTACTTTTTGCTTTTTTTGTGTAAAGAAAGAGTTCAATCTTGGTTTTACTGACAACCCTTTTCATAAATCTATCTACTCCTTTTTTTTTTTTTTTCCTTTTTCCAGTTTTTAGTTGATGATTTTTCCATACACCCTTTGTTCTGTTTGCTCTGTACACACACACACACACACACTCAAAAAAACCTCATTTTTCTGTTTATTTGCTATGTTTGTTGAGGTTGTGTCATGAATTTATGTGCTTTTATATGATTCCTTATCATTTTACATAAAGGGTCTCTTTGCAAGTAGTCATCTGGCCTAAAAACGACTTTGCCTTGAGGAGCCTGGTGTGATTTCTTGTTTTTGTTTGAAAATGGGTTCTCAGACGTTTCGTTTTCATATAAACTCTTGGGTTTTCTTGATACTTGATGTGTAAAAGAATGATCGTTGAACTGTAACTGATAAATGAGGATTATCAGATTTTTGGTGCTTTGTTTTTTAATAAATTTACTGGTTAAACAAATATTTGGTGCATTCACATTTTATATATCACATCAAAACAAGAACGGAGGGGGATGCTGTTTGTTGTTAACAGATGTCGGGTTTAAACTGTGGTACATTCAGCTTTGCATAAAGCTCTACTCTTTGGTTTACACACGTGGACTCAGTATCTGCCATGTGGACTACAATTTTATTGTAATAGTTGAAAATTGAATGCAGCTCAGCTTTGAAACTTCAGTTCTGTCATTGTTGTTTTATATGCATGGGTGAAAAGTTTCTAGTTTTGTTTACATTGGCCCATGTTTGACTGTGAAACTATCTGTTGAATGAAGGCCAGGAAAGTTCATGCCTATCTAAAGATTGTTTGGCATAAATATAATACCACCAGTGGCAAAGCCATAAATTTCCTCAAGGGTGCTCAGACTTAAAAAAAAATTCCGACAAAGGGTGATTAATATATGTTATACTATATATATATNAATCGGCGAAGAAAAAGATGGCTTCGCCCCTGAATACCACTAGAAGTGTGAAATATACCTATTTGAAGTATCAAGGAGCTAATGTAGGAAGTTATTAATGTGCCTTTGCCCCATAAAAGTAATTTTCTCAAGAAAGAACATCTTTTTTTTACCGTCAGATTGTTTCTCAGCCAGGTTTTCGTGACAGTTGTTTGGATTTTTAAGAGATCTATTTGTTTGACTGCTCTGATGTTTGTACAAATCCATGATCATGTCCTACAGTTCAAAGTTGAAATGTTTTAGGCTCTAGGGCAATAGCATTTTTATTACAGTTGAATAATAAACCATGTATAGATTTGGACTAATATGGCGTGATAATTAGTGTGTAGTGCTATTTCACTTTTTCCTTCAAACGCAAATGATAAATATTTGAAGACATTATAGATGAAAAGTAGAATGTTCAAAGAATTTGCCTTACGAATACATAAAAACTTGTTCTGAAGGCGAGTTAGTAAGGGAAGATTGTATTTCTCTTCCTTTTTTTTTTCTTTTGGAGAAAAAAGATTGTACTCTGATAAGAAAAAAAGAATGAAGAAGAATAAATAGAAGCTTCATCATCCTTTTTCCTGTGTGTTGTAACCTATGTAGAATTGCATAATCCTGTAACAAGTTTCTTTGGATGTTCATGTTATACAAGGCCTGTTTTAGAAACTTTATAATTATCTTGATATGACTATCTATTATGGTGACGTTTAGCGTGGGGGGGGGGGGGGGGAGTGGACGAAATCCTATGGCTAAGAATAAGAGGTTTCTCCAAATTAAAGGTCCCCTTATTTCCTAAGCCTCGAATCAGATTTGAAGATTCAAACACTAGAGATGTATCTACTGTAGTTTTATGCTGATTCTATCTTCTTCCTCCACTCTGCTGTTTTTCCTCCTTGTTGCTTTCTCTTTATTCATACTACCTCTTTTTTCTTGTACTCGTTTCCTATATTTCCTTTTATCTCCTGAAAATAATCCAAGACTGTAGCAGCCAGCTTTTCATTCATATTACTCTTGTTTCGCCCTATGATGCTG